CTCACACGGTTATGCGCGTCATAAAAACGGAATCGAAGATAAGTTACTTATTAGCCTAAGTGATTTTAATAAATTTCATAATAACCGTAAAAGAAAGAGTGTGCGTATAAAGACCGCCTAAATCTGATTTTGTATGAGGAAGTTATATTTTTTTGAAGTTTCAGTATAGTAGTGTACCACACATAAACTGAAATTTAGATTTGTTGACTGTTAGCCAAAACATTCTAAACGAGACTTAAAGATCTAGTAAATATGAACTCGCCGATATAAAGACGGTCGAGAACGGAGTTAATATGAAAGAGTTATGATTTCTGAACGGAGTTATAAAAATAAAAATTTAAAATGGACTAAGAGTTAGCCATTGAGACCTTAATGAAAGTTGTAGAAATCGTCAAGAGAATTCTTGGAATATAAAGAATGTTAGACATAGAGCTCGTATGTGAAAGTTATAACTGTTCAAAGATTTCAAGAAATTATATGTCACTAATGACGTGGCACCACCAGGAGGTGCCACGTGGTAAAGAGAGCGTCGGGCTCTTCCACCGACCAGCCCACATGGCACCACGTGACCATGATACTGTTGGATTAGGTGTCTAAGTTCATAATTATTTCTGTAATGTATTTGACCCGGTTGGCATGGTCCATTTGGGTTGCATGGCATTGCAACACTCGGATAGACTAAATGAGAGAAAAGACACTTATGGTTTATTAATATATTATAAGTTCTAATATATTAATAATATTATTTAGTTAGTATTGATCAATAATCGATTTGTAATTAGTTATGTAATCAAAAAGAGACTAACTAAATATATGAGGTTGATTGTGTAAATCTTCCATCCTTTTATAGTGGGTTAATGATCCATGGTTTATTGAATTGGGCTAAAACCCATAAGGTGCTCCATGGATAATCCATAGGAGGTTATAAACCCATGGAACATGGAATATGAAAAGCCATGCACACTAGGGTTTACATGGAGTAACCCTACATGTAGCGATCGTCTTCTGAGGTATTAATTAATTTAATTTCTTGAATGCTAGTGGGCTTCGATTGGTAATTGTCATATTTGGTTGGATTAGACCTTTATGATTTTGGGCCGAGATGTAAGCTGCCCATAAGTCGTACGCGATGCATAGTGCCTTTAGTTTGCGCGGGTTGTGAGAGGCGTATGCGCAGCGTACCTAGAGGTACGCCCAGCGTACGCGGCTAGGTGGCGAAACCCTAATTTTAGGGTTTAAGACGTATTTAAACCTCATTATAGCCTCCCATTTGGCATTCTCACTTATCCTTTACCCGCAGAAAACCCTAGTTCATCCCTTTTTCCTTGTTGTGTGTGTGGTTGATCTTTTGGCTCATTTTTGTGAAGAAAAGTTGGGAAGAAGAAGAAGAGAAGTGGAAGAAGGAGAACTTAAGTACCTTGAGCTCAAAGATCTGGGATCATTCCTTCATTTGGCATTCAAAAGAGGTATAAAGCTTCCAACTTTCCTCTTGTAAGCTTACATCTAGGAGTTTTGGAAGTTTGGACCTTTTAGGTCTAAAGGAAGAACCTTTATCATGCAACTTCAATTTTGGAGCTTGGTATTGCTATCCTTGAAGCTCAAAGTGTCCCCATATCAGTAAAGTTTCCATTTTTGAGGCTTTCATGAAGCCATGCATGAGATTTAGCCACATTCTAGGTCATAAATGGTTATTTTTAGAAGTTTGAGCTTAAGGGAGTCTTGTAAGCCATCAAGTAAGCAACGTTATGGCTTAAGACGTGGTATAAGATCTGGATCTAAGATTTTAGCTTCTGACTCGATAAGACTGGATTTCTGTCTGATGCAGAGGGCATGGCCCTGGTTAGTTTCGGACATCGGTCTGATGTAGTTTCCGAACCCTGGTCTGATGCTGTGGGTAAGGCCCAGTATGTGTTATACATTATTGTATGGTATGTGGTAGTTTGGGGGAGCTCACTAAGCTTCGTGCTTACAGTTTCAGTTTTGGTTTCAGGTACTTCCGTAAGTAAAGGGAAGAGCTCGGGATGATGGCATCGCACACACCACAGCTTCAGTTTGTCCTGGGAGTTGATTTAGCTTTTCATTGATATGTTTGGATTTAGTCTTGTTACAGTTTTCTTGTGATACGTGTTATGGTTTTGGAGATATTGACGTATGGGTTTTATTTTATGGTATTGATATAATGATTTTAGTAATGATTAAACAAAAATTTTTGGGTCGTATTTTGGGATGTTACACTACATATGGCACACTATATAAGAAACTCCATAGCAAGCAAAATCGGCACTAAGAAGAACAAGAGGGCTAGCCGATTTTGAGTGTTAGTGAACTTCTCTCAAAGTTATTGTAAGTGTTATGGTGTTGTCTGAGACATCACACTTTAGGTGCTAGGATCACAAGGTTCTCAAGGAATCCAAGCAACAAAAAGGTATGTTCTTCTACTAGCATTTATGTTTTAAAGTTCCCCATGCCATGCTAGTTAGGTTAAGAACCTTGGAAGATCAAATTTGCATGTATCTTAGTAAAACATAGATCCAAGGTTTCTAGGGTTACATGTACACCTTAGGAGTGTTAGAATGCTCAAAACCCTTCAGTGGTATCAAAGTCTAGGCTTGTTTTCTTGATACTTGATGCAAACTTGTTGAAAAAACTCAAAAATATGCTATCTGCGGAGTGAACTCGCCGAGTCCATGGGGGGGCTCGACAAGTCCATGTGTTAATTCATTCTATTTGTCGAGTAGGTTCGTGCACTCGACGAGTAGGAGGCCCTGGATGCAGTTTTTCGAGTTTTGATGCTGGAAATGTACTAGAAACATTACCCTAAACTGTTTTGGTCTTATAAAACTTATTTTTGATGGTGTAATGGTTATGCTAATCCATTTACAATGGCTATTATAAAAATTTCAAGTTTTGTATGAGTAGTTTATGATTCTTGAAATTGTTGATATGACATTCATGAACTTGTGAGTTTAGAAGATCATATGAATTATTTGTTAGTTTAATTCTTGAGCTTGATGTATTTTAATGGAATCCATAATTTGTCCTCAAGTTATGGATTACCAAAAGTCTTTCTTTTACAGTCCATTAATAAACATATATGTTACATAAAATGAAAGGTCTCTCATTTTAATAAACCATTAACTTATAAGTTATCAAAGATGAAAAGTTTTGAAAAGTTACAAAAGTCGCCCTAAAGTTTTGGAACATGTAAAGTCACTTTAAAAACTTTAGTTCCAACCCCTAGAATTTTAAAAGTTAAAACTCAACCCTTATACTTTATAATATTATATGTTAAATTTATATATATATATATATATATATATATATATATATATATATAAATAACAAGTCGTTTTACCGTTAGTAGGCTTCATTCACGAAGTCGGTCTATAAGGGGGATATAAGATTGTTGCCTATAAAATGGCAACTTAATGGGTGTCCACTCTCACCCACCCCTTCCTTGACTAGTGGAGGTTCGTTAGTCGAACAGGTAAGACAATGACTTTAATCCTCATTAAAAGTATGATGATTGTAAAGTAATTAAATGTTTTTATAAATTCTCAATCTTAGTTACTTTAGGAAAATCTGAATAAGGTGCTAACCCATGAAATTACACTTTGCACTTTGTTTAAGTCGTTAGTAGAGCGTGTGTGGTTAACTGGTACGCTAACCTGGACTTAACAAGGTTTGAAAAGGGTGGCTTAAGGTTTATCATAGATCAGTAGAGCGTGTGTGGTTAACTGACACATCAGTTAAGTGATAAGCATTAAGAATACCAAGTAGCTTGCATGGTTACTGAAGAGACCTTAAGATCAATCGATATATCAAACAAAGACAATGAGTAAGAACAAGAGAAATTCACGAAGAAAACTTTCACTAAGAAAGATAATCTCACAAAGAGATTATCGTGTGCACAAAGCGACAATTAGGGTTTGTAAAAGACCACATCTTTACAAACCCGTACAAAAGACTATATAGAGCAATTATAGACAATCCCTACAAATCAGGGATATTGCAGCTAACTTATACATGATAACTATGGAAACAAGATAAATACTGAATCTGTTACATCAAATACATATACATTGAGTAAACTAAGCTAATATAGACACAGCGGAAATATGTTAGAGCTGACGCTGATACACGTGCTGACGCTGAGTTTATTTTAAACATAATCATATTTCAAGGTTCGACCTTACAATCTCCCCCAATATGATGATGTTCAAATTAACTAAATAAATACACCTCTTGAGAGAAATTCTTCATACTCAGCTTCAACTTCAATTTTAACTGGCCAGTAAGGACTGTCCAGCAACTCTTGTCTTCTGTTCAGCAGCTCCATAGCAATAAGGATGTGAAATTCTCCGGATAGATCTTGATGACTCATGCACATTTGCCTTAAGCCAACAAGGTGAGTGATTGGAGCCTTTGGGATCTCAGTGGTTCTTTGAAAGCACATCCTCCTGTTTTTATCTAGATAAAAACATTCCGTGCTCAGGAGCTGAGATGAATTGATGCTGAACCGGATCAACATTCAGAGGAAGTGAATTGTTAATTGCACCAGCACCAAAGTCTAGAACCAACACATCTTCGCCATCGACATGAAACTTGGTTCTTCGAGATTTATGAGCTGACAACCTTTGACCTTGATGCTGAGATCGTTCCTTAGGAACAAGATCCAAACGCTGAACTTTCTTAATCAGCAAGTGAAGAGCACAAGTCAGTTCAGAAGAATGAGCTGAGGTTTGGTTGGATGCAAGATTAAGCAGTTCCATCCATTCCGAATACCCATACCTGATCAGCTCATCTCTCTTAACAACTTCAGTATAAGAGTGCTGAGGACCTTGACGAGTGATCAGCAATGTAAGAACTTTCTTCGTTCCCGAGGCTTAGAAGCTTTGAATTTGATGATCTTATCTCCACACATCCGCCGGTTGAGAACATCTTCAAATCTCTTTCGATCAATCCGGTCAAGAACACTGTCAGTCTTGGGCTTGCTAGAACTAGGAGGAGGTTGAGAAGACTGAGCCCTGGACTGAAATTCAAGAAACTTTTGCATTTGAGCTTCAAAAGATCCATTGGCCTGAAGTTCGTGCTGAATGAGAGATTCATCAGCTTGAGCAATGTTCTTTAGAAGCTGAGCTTGATTTGCTTCATCAAGAATTTGCTTAACTTGATCAGGGGACATGTTCCATTCAGTGGCAAGATTTGAAATACTGACGATGGACTTTGGTCTCTTCACAGTTGAAGAAGTATCAGTTTGAGAATGATCCAAGTCAGTATCTTCTACTTTCCGCTTTCGAGACAACGGATGGGATTCTTCACTGGCAATGTCCGAATCTTCTCCTTGGACCGGAATGATTGAATCAGCAATAGGATCGGCAAGTATCGGAATAGATTCTTCAAGATCATCTAAGCTTTCTTGCTGATCTGGAATGAGAGGATCAATAAAGTTCATGTCAAAAATTTGACATTCATCATCAGGTTTATCACGCTCTTCGTCATCATCACTATCTTCAAATAATTTCTCAGTGGCTGCTGGACTACTATGCCCCGCAGAATCAGATTCGTGTTCATCATTATGCTCACTATCATCAGATAACCTTTCAGTAGCTGCTGGACTATCATGTCCCGCAGGATCAGCTTCTTCAACGGGGTTGAGTGAGTCATGCTGAAGAATACTGTTGTCACTAGTTGCTGTGTCTTTTTCATTTTGATCTTCATCATCATGAGCATTTTGATCGCTATCAGCATGATCATCAGCGTGATCATCAGCGTGATCATCAGTATCTCCCCCTTTTTCATTTTGATCTTCATCATCATGAGCATGTTGATCGCTATCAGCATGATCATCAGCGTGATCATCAATGTGATCATCAGTATCTCCCCCTTTTTGAACATCATCGGATATGGGACGAGAAGCAGGAGTAAGTAAAAGAACCTCCTTGATTTGCTGAACATCAGCCTCAATATTAAGCAGACGCTGACTCATGTCCCGAGTCAGTGACATCAGTTCAGAGAATGCGGAAGCAGGAATTTGAATCATGGATGTTCCTGGAGCAACTGGAAAGCTGGATTGCATCCTTGGAGAGAAGTGGCGAGCTACTGGGGATGAATGCTCCCCCGGAGAGAGAGGCATCCCTTGAGAAGAATGACCGCCATCATAACGATCCACTTCTTGATCAGCAGGATCCACATGATCACCATCAGCACCTCCGTCATCAGTATCAGCTGAGAGAGAAGGCATAGTGTATGGATGAGCAATCCATTCTCTCATCCTATCTGAGATCCCAATGTCTGAATCCAAAGGATCATCCTGATACATGCGAACGGACATGCGAGGGCATTGGATTGGATTCCCAGAGTGAGAAAAATAATCAGCAGCGAAGAATTTGTCGAACACCAGGGCAATCCAGCGAGGAAAGGGAACATGATCAGCACGCACATTTGCACGTAGAAGTTGAACAAGCTGATCAAAGAAAAGTGCCCCATAATCCAGTCTTTTGTTGAGAAGAAGAGAGCAGACGACTTGTTGCTCATAATTACTCAATTGATCACCACTCCGAGACTTATGGCCCACACACTTGCACAAGGCACCAGTGAAAAACTTCCATCCTGCGGTCATGCACTGACGCAAAATAAGGGCTGATCGAGTACCAGCCTTTGAATGATCATAGCCCAGTTGATCAAACATGCGTTTACATCTTTCAATAGTTGGGGGTTCAGAAAAAGGTTCGAACAGAGGTAATCGTAAAGCAGCGCTGAGAAGCTCTGCAGTGATAAAGACGGAGTGTCTGCCATGGCCAATTGTTCCGGTGATGGCATTGTTTTCTTCATTAACTGTTGCAGTATAGTAAAACTCACATACTTGTTCAGGGAAGAACTCGGATGGTACGTCACTGATTGCGTATCGGAGGCGGCAAGAAGTCAAGAAATTGACGAAATCATCGAGTCCAAGACCACGATGAACCTCTGGAATGTCAGGGTTGAATACTACATTGGTGGCCTTGATGTGAATTGGAAGTGGAGGAGAGTTTGGGGCAGGAGTGACTCTTCGAGATGTTGATGAGTAGGTGAACAGAGATGCCGCCATTGGAGAGTATTTGAGAAATCTAGGGTTTTGGGAGAAAGGTTTGGGGAGGAAAAATTAAACCAAGGGATAAAGTGAGTTAAGTATGGAATGAAGAGGGGTTTCCTTTTATGTGTTTTATTTGAAAAAGGTAATAATTATCTTTACGAAAATTAACGGCGCAGTGTAACAATCTGTCAGAATAGAAAATAGCCGTTGGAGAAAAGAGCCGTTGACTGAAGGTGTAGCGTCAATCAGAGGTTGCGGAAGCGCTGAGTTCATAGTCACAAAGGTTATGTGCTGAGAAATTCTCCATCAATTCAAGGTACAACTTGCATAAACTGGGCTAGCAAGCAGATTGGTGCGTGTGATAGATACTAGTTACATTATCTAACCATCGGCACAGATTGTTGTGAGTTCATCAGTAAGTGGTTTATCTTACTGAATCATTAGACACTGAATAAGAGGGGGGTAGAGAATGGATTGTTGCGTGTGATAAACCGTGGTGTTTTGGTCTAACCATCGGCAAAGATCTGTAAACTCTCATCAGTGTGTGTTTTGGCACACTGAATCACATAATCAGTGTAAGATTGGTGAGAAGAGGTAGTTGCGTGTGATAAATCTTGGTATTTTGATCTAACCATCGGCAAAGATTTTAGACCCTCATCAGCGTGTGTTTTTGGCACGCTGAATCACAGAATCAGTGTAAGATTGGTGAGAAGAGGGTAGTTGCGTGTGATAAATCTTGGTATTTTGATTTAACCATCGGCAAAGAGTTTCAAGTCGTTATCAGTGTATGGTTTAATACAGTGAATCATTCAACTTTTGTTTAGAAGATTTGAAGAAGAGATCAAGATAAGAAATCAAACCAAGGTGCTCAGTATCAAATATCATCAGAACGTCATCATTAGCACAATGTACATCAGCTTATAAGACAATTGCAAACATTAGCACAATTAAATGTTAAATTTAATTATAAGGAAATCATTCCCAGTTCTCCGATAATATAAGCAGTTGATTGAGAATCCAGTGCCTTTGTGAAGATATCAGCTAGTTGCTCCGAAGTCTTGACATGTTCAAGAACAACTTTTCCTTTTTCAACATTATCTCTGATGAAATGATGTCGGATTTCAATATGCTTTGTCTTGGAGTGCTGAACGGATTTTGTGTGATCTGAATGGCACTGGTGTTGTCACAATATATGGGAGTCTTTGAGAACTTGAATCCATAGTCGAGAAGCTGATTTTGAATCCATAAGAGCTGAGCACAACATCTTCCGGCGGCAACATACTCAGCTTCTGCAGTTGAGATGGCTACTGATGTTTGTTTCTTGCTGGACCAACTGATGAGATGATTTCCGAGGAAATGACATCCACCAGATGTACTCTTTTTGTCTAAATTGCATCCAGCATAATCTGAGTCAGTGTAACCATAAAGTTCAAATGCTGAGTCACGAGGATACCATAAAGCAAGGTTTTGAGTTCCCTTTAAGTATCGAAAGATACGTTTAACAGCCATGAGGTGAGATTCCTTTGGATTAGCTTGGAATCGAGCACAGAGAATGGTGCCAAACATAATATCAGGACGACTTGCTGTGAGATATAGGAGAGATCCAATCATTCCTCGATACAGAGAGTGATTGACATCAGTTCCAGCTGGATCAGCGTTTATCTTATCAGTCTTGGACACTGGAGTAGAGGCTGGTTTGCAGTCACTGAGAGAATATTTAACAAGCAGGTCAGATATATATTTACTTTGACAAATGGAAATACCTGTCTTTTTTTGCTGAACTTCAAGACCTAAGAAAAAGGTCATCTTCCCCATCATGCTCATTTCGAACCTTTGAGACATGATCTCTGCAAATTCCTTGCTTAGTGTCTCATTTGGAGAGCCGAAAATGATGTCGTCGACATAAATTTGAACAAGAACCATGTCTGATCCTTTGTTTTTGATGAAGAGAGTATTGTCGATTGCTCCTCGTCTGTATCCATTCTCAAGCAGATATGATGTCAGCGTCTCATACCAGGCCCTGGGAGCTTGTTTCAGCCCATAGACCGCTTTGTCTAACCGATACACGTAATCAGGATGATCTTTGTCCACAAAGCCTGGGAGCTGATTTAGGAATACTTCTTCTTCTAACACACCATGTAGAAATGCTGTTTTCACATCCATCTGATAGACAATGAAGTTCATGTAAGATGCATATGCAAGAAACAGTCTGATAGCTTCAATGCGAGCAACTGGAGCAAAAGTTTCCCCGTAGTCGATGGATTCAATTTGAGTAAACCCTTGAGCTACAAGCCTTGCCTTGTTGCGAGTGATGATTCCATCTTTATCAACCTTGTTACGATAGACCCAACGAGTTCCAGTTATAGTTTTCCCGGATGGTCTTGGAACAAGAGTCCAAACTTTGTGCCTTTCAAACTCATTCAGTTCTTCTTGCATGGCTTTGATCCAATCAGCATCTTGAAGAGCTGCGTGTATTTTATCAGGTAAGATCATTGAAACAAAGTTAACATACATGCAAAAGTTATTAAGTGCACTAGATCTGGTTCGGACACCATCATGAATATTCCCTATAATTCGATCAACAGGATGATCTCGATGTTCAATAACTGATGCTGATTCAGGAGATATAGATGCTGACACATTATCAGTTTCAGGAGAATCTTCAGCTTCAAAGGTTTCATCAGCACTTAATGAATTGTTAGTGGCTGCAATATCTTGAGTCAAGGAGCATGGAAATGGAATGATAGGATCAGAGGAATCAGTCTTATCTTCTGTAGAAGATACTTCATCGAAGGGACAAGAGAGAAGTTCTTGAAAGATAGAAGGAGAATGAGAGACCTTTTCATCAGTGTATGATTCCTCATCAAACTTAACATGAATGGATTCTTCAATGCATTGCCTATTCACATGAAAAACACGAAAAGCTTTCGAAATAGAAGAGTACCCAACAAAAATACCTTTATCAGCCTTAGGTTCGAATTTGGACCTTGGGTCACGCTGATTGAGAATGTAACAAATACATCCGAACACATGAAAAAAGGATACATCTGGTTTTTGACCTTTCAGCATTTCATATGGAGTCTTTTTGTGAACCCTGTGAATTAAAGATCGATTCTGAGTGAAACACGCTGTATTGACAGCTTCAGCCCAAAAGGACATAGGAAGACCAGCATGTATCATTAAGGTTCTTCCTGCCTCAATCAGTGTTCTATTCCTTTGTTCAGCAACACCATTTTGCTGAGGAGTACGAGGAGCTGAGAAGTTTTGCCCAATACCTTTGATGTCACAGAATTCTTCTAGAGTTGAGTTGCGGAACTCAATGCCATGATCACTTCTTAGTTGCTTAACTTTAAGACCTGTCAGTGTCTCATTTTTACGAATTAGTGAGATGATCTCTTGTGTAGCATGATTTTTCTTCTTCAAGAAGGTTACCCAAGTAAATCGAGTGAACTCATCAACAACCACCAGAGTATACTTATTTCCAGCTAGAGAACGAACAGGAATAGGTCCGAACAGGTCCATGTGAAGTAGATAAAGAGGAACTGATATACTAGAGCACGACTTGGGTTTGAAAGAGGACTTGGTTTGTTTTCCTTGTTCACAAGCTGAGCACATCTTGTCCTTTATAATGCTGAATTTTGGGAGCCCTCTAACTAGGTCTTGATTGGATATCTTGGATAGATTCTTGAAATTTAGATGAGAGAACCTTTTGTGCCAAATCCAACTAAGATTCGTCTGAGACTTTGTAAAGAAACATTGCATCAGTGTCTTGTCACTCGAGAACATGTCAAGAACATAAATATCATCTTTTCTACGAGCTGAGAGAACGATGTTCTTGTCAGTGTTTATAACTCTTCCTTCCTTCTTTGTAAAATGAACTTCATAGTCAGCATCACATAACTGACTGATAGAAATGAGGTTGTGTTTGAGACCCTTTACGTATGAAACGTTTTGAAAAATCACGTTATTGCATTTGATGTTTCCATATCCTTTAGTGAATCCCTTTCCATTGTCTCCATAAGTAACTGCAGGACCAGTTTTCTTAACATAATCTTCCAGGAGAGACTTTGATCCCGTCATATGCCTTGAGCAACCACTATCTAAATACCAAAGATGCTCTTGACCCTGCAGTACTGAGAAACTAGTTAGAACACACTGACCCATTCAAAAATGGGTCATTCACAAAGTTATTCGATAATAAGTTATAGCACTCCTTAGGAAGACATTTTAAAGAGTTTGACTTAAGAGACCATTTTTCATTCCTAATTTTAATATTCTCAGCTCTTGAGGATGATTTATCAAAAGAACATTCACTGATCTTGTGAGAGGAATTACCACATCTGTAACAAACTCTAGTACCAAAGTTCTTCTTGATGAGTAAATTTTTTGATTTAACACATTTTGACATGTAAGATTCATCAAGAGAGCTTTGAGTTCTTTTGTTTATTATTGAGTCACGACTGAATACAGTATCAAGAGAAGTTTGATCAGTGTTAGGTGTAACACTATCAGTATATAATTTTGACTCATTCACAGATGGATTGCAATCAGGGCAGTGCTTGAGTTGTTCATGAACAGCATGAAACACTCCATTTGAGATAGGAAAAGCAATAATATTCTCAGTTAGAGGGATTGGTCTAACAAGATGTCCAGGATAAGAGGTAGGATCAATTCCGGTAATTTCAACATTGCACTCAGTTATACCATCAGAATTGGTAATGCAATATTTATCAATTAAGCTTTGATTAATAAAAGAGTTACTGACAAACTTATTTTTGAAATTATTTCTCATCTCATTCATGGAATAAACCTCAGATCCCTTTTCTTGTGTTTTAAAAACTTTTTCAGCTTCTGCAAAATTACCCCCAAGAATTTTCTCACAAGAATGAGGAATTTGAGCTGAAATGATATAATTAGCATTCTTATGGGATTTTGCCCAAGTGTGAAGCACAGTTTGTTCTTTGATCAAAAGATTTTTAACATCATCAATTTCAGCAGACAAAGATGAGTTTGAC